TAGGCTCAGGAACCTGTACACCTGTTGATTGACAGTTGAGAGGCGGGACCAAAGAGCGAAAGCTCAACCCCCGCAAGCACAACTAGGTGAAATACACACACACACACACACACACTGGATGGGGCTGGGTGGCCGAGTGGACAGCGCTCTAGACTAGTGGACCTAGTGACCGGGGTTCGATCCCCCGCACCTGGCGGAGACAGATGGGCAGTTTCCTTAACCAGAGGTGTTGGTTATGGGAGGGGGTTGGTTGTGAGAGGAAGGAAGGGAGGGAGGGAGGGGGGGGTTGTGGGAGGGAGGGAGGAAGGGAGGGTTGTGAGAAGGAGGAAGGGGTGGGGGGGGGGGTTGTGAGAGGGCATACAAGAGGGAGAGCGGATGGAGGCTGTGAAAGAGAGCACACAGTTAACCGCTAACATCAAAGGCCGTACAGCACACCTCCCGGCCAGAGAGCTCCCTTCACCCGGAGCGTAGATGTCTCCTGTTACAGTTCTCTTGTTACTCATAAATGAGGCGGAGAATTGGTTGCATTCTTGTACACAAGTTGGGTTGTAGGCCCACGTGCCCCAGGCCACCTACATAACTTCCTCAGTAAGTGAGCTACGAGAGTGTCTCGTAATGCACCAACCAACCCAACTAGCCACTCTTACATGCAAGACTTTCCCCATATACACCAACACTGACTGCGAGGTCTTCAAAAGCAGAGCCCAGGAAATCCCAGGAAATCCGGTCTCATACCAAATAATATACATGGAAGATACAGGGAAGAACAAGGCACCTGACACGAACAAGGCACTTGGCACGAACAAGACACTTGGCACGAACAAGGCACTTGGCACGAACAAGACACTTGGCACGAACAAGACACTTGGCATTAGCAACATAAACAAACCTTTCTGTGAAGGAAATTCATCCCTATATACTTCCCACTTACTTCACAAACACCAGGAAAAAACAAATGGCAAATTACAGAACAATTTCCTGTTTGAGATAACAGGCAAAAAAAAATTGACAAAACAATCTACAGATTAGTGAAGTTCAGTGAAGAACAGCAGAATATAACATCATACAATAACAATTCGGAAATCCCCAAGTGGGGGCTCGCGCAGCCACCGCTCTCATCTAAGCTCATCGGCGATGCCATGACGGAAGAGGAACGCAACAGTGCTCAGAGACACATAAAAACATTCAATAACTCTGGCACACGAGGCTATAAACAGGACGCCACCATTAGGGCTCCCACAGAGCTTTACTGATAAATTATAAAGGTTCATAGACACCAGAACAGCGAAGATTGGGAGCTATATGGGAGAACAGGTGGCACTCAAGAGTGGAGTGCCACAGGGAAGCTGCCTACCACACCTTTGTTCAACACACGCACAGCTGGCCTGGTCCCTCCCTAGCGTGAGGAATAATTTACATAATGCGAAAGACGTAATTAAAATATTTAGCCAGCCAGGACAATCAACGCCGGTACTGGTCAACAAGACTAAGGCGGCAATAGAATTCATGAACAACTTTTATAAAGCCATTGAAAGCTGATTGCAAGTCACAGTGTGACAATGTGAATATTTGACACCAAACCCACAGAAACGTAGTCCGTTTTTTATATTTAGATTTCTCAGCTGGGTAGCCAAGCTTTGGAAAATTAACAACAAACAAAGAGTTTGTTGTAAAACTGTAAAACTTTTACAGTTGTTGTTGAACTGTAAAAAGTTCCAAATATTATACATTGCTCAAATTCAAAGCACATAACCGTCAACAATCAGCCAATCTATGCAGGATACCATGAACACACAGCCAGAGAACCTCAGACTACAATAGTCAGTTATTATCTTATGTTCTTAGTCCCAGATACGACGCTCCGACGCCCACACCTGGAGAGCCAAGAGCCTCGATGTACTCGAGATCACCTAAGCCCCACAATACATAATTTCACAATAAAAATGCTGACTCGGAGAACCCCAATACTAAACACACCGCCCACACACACACACACACACACACACACACACACACATATATATATCCCATCAAAGAGCAACAGCAAAACATGCCCCTAACCATGCGAGCGCCCAGAGCATTATGTATGACAGCACATCCACATGTGCTGTCATACATATGAAGAACCTGACAACCCAGCTCCCTGAAGTGCCAGACACGCACAAGGTGTCAGCAAGGCGGACTGGCCGCCTCTTGCTTCACCAGTGTTACCTAATAATCATATCTGTGAAAAGCAGGTGTGCCATACACACCTGGCCTGTGCTCCCCCCCCCCCCACAGCGTACGTGTCACACACACCAGCAACAAGTGCCACCCAGCACACACCGCCAGGGACCAGCCACCCCGCGTCGACTCCTAACTTCCTTTCCTGGAAAAGCGTCACTAGTTGTAGGTAAACAAGGAGGGGGGGGGGGAAATGGAGGGGGGAGTTACCGGTGATTGTGCCCTGGGGGGGGGGGGCTCTCGGGGTGCTCTTTTAGACTCTCCCATGGTAAACCTCTACTCCCCTTCCCCCCCCCACACACTACAAGTATGTATCGGTGCTTCTACAATCACCCACCGAGCCCCGCTCCTGTGCCAGGTAAGTCCACTACGGGCTCACCATAGCCCGTGCTACTTGCCCCGCTCCCGTGCCGGGTAAGTTACGGGCTCGCCATAGCCCGTGCTACTTGGAACTTGTTCCGAGTAGCTGAATCTATAAACAACAAATCACCGACACACTTCATAGCCCGGGAAGACGATGGTGAGCATCGAGGAGGTGTAGGGGGGGCGGTGTAGGGGGGCGGCGGGGGGGGGGAAGGTTATACAATGGTAAACATGTAGGGGGAGGGAGAGGGGGGGGGAGGGAAGGTAGGGGGGGGCCGCACGTAGCGTAAATATAAACAGCTGGCAAACCTGATCTTGCAAGCTCTTGTCCAGACACAGACAAACAGCCGGCGTGTTGTGTGCTCTGTTTACCCCCCCCCCCCCCTCCTCCTCCTCCCGCACACTCTTCACCGTCAACGGGATTTCATCATGCACGCGCACGCACGTGCACGAGCTCAAGCGCATGCACGCAACATAAGTGACCCCCATCAACTGGCTGCAGGAGTTCCATTGCAGATAGTTCAAGGTAATGACTCAAGGTACAGAGGCGAGGGAACGGTGCTGCTCTCAACGGAGCCGGTCGGCCGAGCGGACAGCACGCTGGACTTGTGATCCTGTGGTCCCGGGTTCGATCCCGGGCGCCGGCGAGAAACAATGGGCAGAGTTTCTTTCACCCTATGCCCCTGTTACCTAGCAGTAAAATAGATACCTGGGTGTTAGTCAGCTGTCACGGGCTGCTTCTTGGGGGCTGAGGCCTGGTCAAGGACCGGGCCGCGGGGACACTAAAGTCCCGAAATCATCTCAAGATAACCTCAAGATAACGGTGAGAAGGAACGGTGCTGCTGTGCGCGGAACACCGTGCCAGACCAAGGAGCGTGCTCCCCAGGCACACCGTGCCAGACCAAGGAGCGTGCTCCCCAGGCACACCGTGCCAGACCAAGGAGCGTGCTCCCCAGGCACACCGTGCCAGACCAAGGAGCGTGCTCCCCAGGCACACCGTGCCAGACCAAGGAGCGTGCTCCCCAGGCACACCGTGCCAGACCAAGGTGCGTGCTCCCCAGGCACACCGTGCCAGACCAAGGAGCGTGCTCCCCAGGCACACCGTGCCAGACCAAGGAGCGTGCTCCCCAGGCACACACACACATAACGTCGCAATAAGCCAGGTTGGCAGACCATGGACCACCTTTCAAGTCCCTGAACAAGACTTCATTCAGAACACTGCACACACCAGCTATGCAGAACCCGTCCTGGAGTACGCAGTGACGGCGTGGAGCCGCCTCTGACCCCCGGGGCTGTTATTGCTAACTTAGTGAACCTCAATGACGCTGAAGACCCGAGATGAACCAGGGCGAACATGCTCACGACATACATAATATCCGGGCGTCGACAGTGAGACTTGACATGGAAGCGACCAGCGGAAGACACGGGAACTTGAACAGATATATGCAAGACAGAACTGCTGGTAGTTAAGAAGAGACGAGGGAGAAGTAGGATGTTGAAGAGAATCCAAGACTCTTGTTTCAACCGGGAATTGGAGAACAAAAGAGCGGGAAACAATGCCGGACTGCGCTAGTTGAGCGAGGGTGAGGAAGCGGGGCCCAGGAACTAAAGCTCGTGTCATACAACTATACAGAGGTGACGACATACAAGGTAAAAATACAATAATGGTAAATAGTACATAATTTAGGTAGGTGAGAGCAGCCTAATGTGGAGGCGGAGGTCAATGGTGCTAAACAGGAAGTGAGTAAATACCTCCACTGATTGGATGCCTTCACTCTCTGCTGCCCTCCCCCCTGCTCCCTCCCGCTGCTGCCCTCCTGCTGCTGCCCTCCCGCTGCTGCCCTCCCGCTGCTGCCCTCCCGCTGCTGCCCTCCCCCCTGCTCCCTCCCGCTGCTGCCCTCCTCCTGCTCCCTCCCCCTCCTGCTAACACCAGGGGCTACACATAAACAACGAAACATCAGCAGCATATGGAACGTTGACCATCTTTACAACGTGTTCCGGCAACCTAAATCAGTACCTTTTCAAAGTAATCTGCACAGCCTACGTCAGACCAATTCTGGAATATGCAGCAACGGCCCGAAATCCTCTCCCGGGAAAGGATTATATGCAACTATAATCAACTATAATACTGCCAGAACCACAAGGGCCACGATGCCATTCTCACCACCCTAGGGAGCCGGTCGGCCGAGCGGACAGCACATGGGTTTGTGATCCTGTGGTCCCGGGTTCGATCCCGGGCGCCGGCGAGAAACAATGGGCAGTTTCTTTCACCCTATGCCCCTGTTACCTAGCAGTAAAATAGGTACCTGGGTGTTAGTCAGCTGTCACGGGCTGCTTCCTGGGGGTGGAGGCCTGGTCGAGGACCGGGCCGCGGGGACACTAAAGCGCCGAAATTATCTCAAGATAACCTCAAGATGTTTATTGAGACAAGAAAGAAATACATCTGAAAGGGATAGAATAGCTTAGGCTATTTCTACCCTCCTAATAATAAGGTATTACATGCATTTAATGTAATAATTTGTCTCATTTCGAACTTTTATAGCACATTTCATGGCTGACTAAGATCCATACTAATTATCAGTGGCAAAGCTTTTTTAGGGGGGGCAGTGTGAGTTGTGAAGGTCGTTTAGCTCCTATGTAGTAAATATAATAACACTTACTAGGCACAAAGCTACACTTATCAGCCAATAGTCCCGTCTAAAAGTGCGATTGAGTATCGTACACACTAAACCCCTATAACAAAATAAACCATAAAACATAAGACTTACTACAATGCCGTATATTATTTCAGTACTATATGTCGTACAAGACATCAATAAGCAATCGTGAGTCACCCCAAGTCATCAACTCCGAGGGTGTTGATGTCATTGACAGGGTTGATAACGATAAATTATTTAGCATGGGGTGGGATACGAACAAGGGTGACACAGGTGGAAACTTTGTACCCAAATGAGCCACAGGGACGTTTCAAATGTAGATATGATAAGAGCTCAAATTGGCTCAGGAATCTGTACACGCAGTTAATTGACAGTTGAAAAGCGGGGCCACGGAGCAGAAGCTCAACCCCCGCAAGCACAATAAAGTGAGTTAACCTCCTTTTCAAACACACTAACTCGTCCGAGAATGGTGAACTCATACACCGGCATACAGACGATGTTAGTTTTCTAACTGTTAATCGTCATGTCTCGATAGGTTAACATAGGTACTCAGACCCAAGGTATCGTCTTGTATATGAATAAAAATAAAAAAGATTAGACTGTAAAATCCGTCTTGAACGGATTTTTAATCCCGTTGAAGAACTGTTGAGAGAGTATGCAACTTAATGTATCCGTACGAAACGATCCACGCGCCAACGCTTGTATACGAAATAACCATTCGCAGTTATTTTTTTTAATTTATTTTGAAAGCCGTCCATATTTATAATTATTGATGAACTTTTACTAAACTTTATCAACAGTTTTTTGAGCATCTATTTAATATTATCTCCAGCATACAACAAAGAATTGTAGATAAGGTGAATACAGACCTATGGGCCTGTATTCACCATATCGTGAATGGTATCCACAGCAACAGTCATCAATAAACAGTCTATTCACATCAACATTCACAACGATATCACCATATCGTTGTACGCCAGCAACGAGGAGGCCTGGTCGACGACCGGGCCACGGGAACGCTAAGCCCCGGAAAAAACTCCAAGGTAACTCCAAGGTGTGGGCCTATGTTCGCTAGAGGGCAGCATAGAGAGAGGAAGTATTAGTCGGGCACAGTGAAGGTACAGACCAACAGACGTCTACGGCTGAGCCCCACAGCCACGGTGACTACACGCTGTGTAGAACAGTGGTGCACCTCACCATCCCCCGTCACTCATGGTGCACCTCACCATCCCCCGTCACTCATGGTGCACCTCACCATCCCCCGTCACTCATAATACGTCATAATGTTCTTAATGAACAATCCACAACAGCCACCCCCCCCCCACAACAGCCAACAACAACCCCCCACAACAGCCACCCCCCCCACAACAGCCACCCCCCCCCCCACAACAGCCAACAACAACCCCCCACAACAGCCACCCCCCCCACAACAGCCACCCCCCCCCCCAACAGCCAACAACAGCCAACAACAACCCCCCACAACAGCCAACAGGAAACGCTAAAGTGATCAATAAAATCATCAATAAACAGTCCACAGCAACAGTCATCAATAAACAGTCCACAGCAAGTCATCAATAATAGTCCACAGCAAGTCATCAATAATAGTCCACAGCAAGTCATCAATAATAGTCCACAGCAACAGTCATCAATAAACAGTCCACAGCAACAGTCATCAATAAACAATCCACAGCAAGTCATTAATAAACAGTCCACAGCAAGTCATCAATAACAGTCCACAGCAACAGTCATCAATAACAGTCCACAGCAAGTCATTAATAAACAGTCCACAGCAAGTCATTAATAAAGAGTCCACAGCAACAGTCATCAGTAACAGTCCACAGCAAGTCATTAATAAACAGTCCACAGCAACAGTCATCAATAAACAGTCCACAGCAACAGTCATCAATAAACAGTCCACAGCAACAGTCATCAATAAACAGTCCACAGCAACAGTCATCAATAAACAGTCCACAGCAACAGTCATCAATAAACAGTCCACAGAAACAGTCATCAATAAACAGTCCACAGCAAGTCATTAATAAAGTCCACAACAAGTCATCAATAACAGTCCACAGCAAGTTATCAATAAGTCCACAGCAACAGTCATCAATAAGTCCACAGCAACAGTCATCAATAACAGTCCACAGCAAGTCATCAATAACAGTCCACGGCAACAGTCATCAATAACAGTCCACAGCAACACGTCATCAATAAACAGTCCACAGCAAGTAAACAGTCCACAGCAACAGTCATCAATAAGTCCACAGCAACAGTCGTCAATAAACAGTCCACAGCAAGTAAACAGTCCACGGCAACAGTCATCAATAACAGTCCACAGCAACAGTCATCAATAAACAGTCCACAGCAAGTAAACAGTCCACAGCAACAGTCATCAATAAGCAGTCCACAGCAAGTAAACAGTCCACAGCAAGTCATCAATAAACAGTCCACAACAACAGTCATCAATAACAGTCCACAGCAAGTCATCAATAACAGTCCACAGCAACAGTCATCAATAAACAGTCCACAGCAAGTCATCAATAAACAGTCCACAGCAGGTCATCAATAAACAGTCCACAGCATCAGTCATCAACAAACAGTCCACAGCAACAGTCATCAACAAACAGTCCACAGCAACAGTCAGCAATAACAGTCATCAACAAACAGTCCACAGCAACAGTCATCAACAAACAATCCACAGCAACAGTCATCAATAACAGTCCACAGCAACAGTCATCAACAAACAGTCCACAGCAACAGTCATCAATAACAGTCCACAGCAAGTCATCAATAACAGTCCACAGCAACAGTCATCAATAAACAGTCCACAGCAACAGTCATCAATAACAGTCCACAGCAACAGTCATCAATAACAGTCCACAGCAAGTCATTAATAAACAGTCCACAGCAAGTCATTAATAAACAGTCCACAGCAAGTCATCAATAACAGTCCACAGCAACAGTTATCAATAAACAGTCCACAGCAAGTCATCAATAACAGTCCACAGCAACAGTCATCAATAAACAGTCCACAGCAAGTCATCAATAACAGTCCACAGCAACAGTCAGCAATAACAGTCCACAGCAAGTCACCAATAAACAGTCCACAGCAACAGTCATCAATAAACAGTCCACAGCAACAGTCATCAATAAACAGTCCACAGCAACAGTCATCAATAAACAGTCCACAGCAACAGTCAACAATACAGTCCATCGCCACCAATAATTAAGTCTACCACCAGCGCACAGTTCACACAAGTCCCACCGCATGGTTAAGTCCCACCGTGTTACAGCCAACACGGCCAAGTCCCACAGCACAGTCAAGTCCCAGCGCACGGTCAAGTCTCACCGCACAGTCAAGTCCCAGCGCACGGTCAAGTCTCACCGCACAGTCAAGTCCCAGCGCACGGTCAAGTCTCACCGCACAGTCAAGTCCCACCGCACGGTCAAGTCTCACCGCACAGTCAAGTCCCACCGCACGGTCAAGTCTCACCGCACAGTCAAGTCCCAGCGCACGGTTAAGTCTCACCGCACAGTCAAGTCCCGCCGCACGGTCAAGTCTCACCGCACAGTCAAGTCCCAGCGCACGGTCGTCAAGTCCCACTGCACAGTCAAGTCCCAGCGCACGGTCAAGTCTCACCGCACAGTCAAGTCCCAGCGCACGGTCAAGTCCCACTGCACAGTCAAGTCCCAGCGCACGGTCAAGTCCCACCGCACAGAGAACTGGTCAATAAGGTCTCAGACATCACAACTATAGGTACGGAGCGCCGAGAGAGACAGACACACGCAGCTTCCAGTCCTACCTGCACAAGACGGCCAGACGAAGGGCACCACCAGCTGACTCCTGAGTGCGATTTGTTAAGTCTCCTGCGAGTGGCACGCGCGTGTGTATGTGTGCGTGCGTGTGTGTGTGTGTGCACTCGAGCCGCGGACCGCACCATCCACTCGCTAGCGTCCCGCCACCATCACTGACTCCCTCAGTTTCAACTTTGAACTGGTCAGCGCTAAAGAGGAAGGAGGGTGGGATCTGGGGGAGGGGGGTGGCCGGGTGGGGCTGGGGTTGTGGGGGGGGGAGGGTTGCTTCTGGAGATTGGGGGAGGGGGGGAGCGGTTGGCCAGGGGTAGGGGTAGGGAGGGGTAGGGGAGGGAGCGAGTGAGAGGAGAGAGTGAGGAAAAGAGAGAGAGAGAGAGAGAGATGGTCGAGATGCCACGAAGGGAATTATTTCCTCCGGTCTTCCGGTGTGCATTCACGGTGTGAGGTTTGGGCCATGTGGAGGTTGAGGGTTGTCCGGGGCCACGAGGCTCACCCCGCCTGGACCACGACGTGTGAGGGTGGCCGTGGAGGCCTCATCATCCTGGCTAAGGGTATGTGTGTGTGTGCGCGCTGAGGGACTTTATCGATTGTTCCAAGCCCCACTTGGATCCGCTTGGCAACTCTTCTCTCTGACCATCAATTCACGAACGATTCTCATTCCCTGACCATACACACACACATAGCGCTCAGGGGGTTGTAGTCCAAAGGGCCCGGGTTCGATTCCTGGCCGAGACAGAATAAAATGGTCAGTTTCTTTCACTTGATGCACCTGTACACTTTGCATTAACTAAGTACTCGGGAGTTAGACGGCTGCTGCGGTCCGTAAGAATGAAGGGAACTGCAGAAGGCCTATTGACCCATATTTATATCCAACGATTCTCATTCATATATATGTCTAACCTTCGCTTGAAACACTCAAGGACTCCTACGGCTATTATGTTATACAGGTAACCGGTTCCACACATCCACAACCCTATTACTAAAGACCTGGGTAAATACTCAAGTTTCTCCTTCCGGGAGTCGGTACATTAACAGCCGGCGGTAAGAAAGGCGGGGTCCAAGAGCTAACAGCTCGATCCATCAGGCACAAATAGTAAATACACAAACATACACACACACTTTTAGATTTAGACGCCGAGTTTGTAAATGATTTAGACAAATCATAGTTATAGCAGGAGTGAAGTGGTCTATAATCTTGCCTAAACATTTCCTTAAATTAACAGATTAATAGAATCTTAGCTTAGTCGATTAAGGCAGCGTCTGGGATGCTCTCGGACGCAGGTTCGAATCCTCATCACGGCCCTTGTGGATTTGTTCATTAATAAAATAAAATCCAAACGGGAAACAGTCGTAAGTAGAGTGCCCAGGAGACCTGTCCTGGGACCTCTCTTATTTACTACATATAATAACGATTTCGATGTAGGATTCACGGGAGACATCTCCCGTCACGCAGGGTGCAGTCGCACCTCCATAGATCTCCAGTATCAGCACTTGATACTGGTAATGGCTCAAAAGGGCCTCCACTTACGGGCTATTCATGCCCGTGCCACCTTTTGGGTGCTTAATCTTCACCAATCATCAATTTAGGATTGAACAGCAACATTTTCAAACGATGCAAAAAATTGGGAAGGAATAAAATAATAAAGTGGATAATCACTACAAGATGATCTAGATTAACTTTTAAAGTGTATTAAAGAGTTGTAATTTATGGATCAAATTACCTATGTGGAGTCGGCTATCTTGACTCGGGTGTGTGGAGTCGGCTATCTTGAATCGGGTGTAAGGAGTCGGCTATCTTGAATCGGGTGTGTGGAGTCGGCTATCTTGACTCGGGTGTGTGGAGTCGGCTATCTTGAATCGGGTGTGTGGAGTCGGCTATCTTGACTCGGGTGTGTGGAGTCGGCTATCTTGACTCGGGTGTGTGGAGTCGGCTATCTTGAATCGGGTGTGTGGAGTCGGCTATCTTGACTCGGGTGTGTGGAGTCGGCTATCTTGACTCGGGTGTGTGGAGTCGGCTATCTTGAATCGGGTGTGTGGAGTCGGCTATCTTGACTCGGGTGTGTGGAGTCGGCTATCTTGACTCGGGTGTGTGGAGTCGGCTATCTTGACTCGGGTGTAAGGAGTCGGCTATCTTGAATCGGGTGTGTGGAGTCGGCTATCTTGAATCGGGTGTGTGGAGTCGGCTATCTTGACTCGGGTGTGTGGAGTCGGCTATCTTGACTCGGGTGTGTGGAGTCGGCTATCTTGAATCGGGTGTGTGGAGTCGGCTATCTTGACTCGGGTGTAAGGAGTCGGCTATCTTGAATCGGGTGTGTGGAGTCGGCTATCTTGACTCGGGTGTGTGGAGTCGGCTATCTTGACTCGGGTGTAAGGAGTCGGCTATCTTGAATCGGGTGTGTGGAGTCGGCTATCTTGACTCGGGTGTAAGGAGTCGGCTATCTTGACTTGGGTGTAAGGAGTCGGCTATCTTGACTTGGGTGTAAGGAGTCGGCTATCTTGACTCGGGTGTGTGGAGTCGGCTATCTTGACACGGGTGTGTGGAGTCGGCTATCTTGACTTTACATCCTTCTTTTGAATGTAAAGTCCTTCATCTTGACTTTGCTCCTATTTACATCGTTCCAAAGTGATTGATATATATACACATCAAGCCAAGACTTACACTAACCAAGTGATCTCAGCGAGACACGATATCAAAGGCTTGGCTGAGGTCAAGATGTGAAATGTCGCAATCTTTCCACCGTCAACTGCTTGAAATATATTATAACAGGAGAGAGAGTGTTCAACACGAGCGGTACTCGATAAAACCATGTTGTGAATCCTTTGTGGATTTGTTCATTTGATGCATCACGCAATTGTGATTTCTGTGTGTAATGAAGTAAGGGCGAAGAGGGAGAACGGCCTATTGACATAGCTCGAGTGCACGGGGGGAGTTGTGTAAAACCCTCGTTTGTGTATCGGAGAGGCTGCAGGATCCAGTAAGTTCAGTAGAACTTCGGTTTCAACTCCTTTTGACCATGTCGTAGCTCAGTCAATTAAGGCAGCGTCTGGGATGCTCTCGGACGCAGGTTCGAATCCTCGTCACGGCCCTTGTGGATTTGTTCATGTAAATCATTTATTAATCTGTGTGTTTTGACACGCAGGCGAATGATTATAGCGATTATCGATACAAGGAAAGTTTGTATAATAGACGTTAAAATAATTAATTGATATTTCAGTGGAAGTGATCAACCTTCTTACTCAAAAAACGTGACGTAATATTTGCCACCCTCCACGCTTATAGCTTTGGAGATTGTACTAATACTCAGTAAGGTGCTAATGAGTTATAATAAGGTGCCCTTCGTAAGAAAATAAGAACTTAAGAATTAATGGCAACCGCAGAAGGCCTATTGCATCATACACACGTGTGTGTGTGTGTGTGTGTGTGTGTGTGTGTGTGTGTGTGTGTGTGTGTGTGTAAATCACGAAAGTTAACACGCAATGAAAAATGTGACAGCAAATCACGGAGGAAGAACTTAAACAGGAATTTCCTTAAGTACTTTCGTATTTAATAATACATCTTCAGAAGGGTCTAACTTAAAGGACACGTGTCCAACTTGCTCTGTTAGAACCTGTTACGAGCTGAGAGTATAATTATCAGGTGTGCAGGACGGATGTAATTGTTACTGTAATAATCTCCGTTGAAGTGTAATAATGATCTTGTGTCCCCTGTAACCCGTTTTTGCGCTACCGCTCACAGACTGAGTATGGGGTGCACAATAAACTAGCCGCCCTCGGCAACAACAGTTACAAGAATCACACTTAGCATTGCAGGTTAATATAGTAAACACAACATATAACTGTTGACCAAACCACACACTAGAAAATGAAGAGATGAAGCTGTTGTTGTTTAAGATTCAGCTACTTGGAACAAAAAGTTCCAAGTAGCACGGGCTATGGTGAGCCCGTAGTGGACATACCTGGCACAGGAGCGAGGCTGTAACTGAGAGAGAGAGACGAAGTTGTTGTTGTTGTTATAGATTCAGCTACTCGGTACAAGTTCCAAGTAGTACGGGCTATGGTGAGCTCGTAACTTACCCGGCACAGGAGCGGTGCAAGTATCACAGGCTATGGTGAGCCCGTAGTGGACTTACCTGGCACAGGAGCGGTACCGTCTGAGGAGAGACGAAGGAAGCAAGGGCAATAAATAGGCAAGAGAGGTGAGGAGTTGGAAATCTTAAAGGAAGAAAACAGCAAGGCGAAGGGTACGGAAGATGAGGTGTAAACAAGGATGTAATAATAGGAATAAGAAAGGGATCGTACGAGTAAACAGACAAAGAAATTGAAAGATAAAAGGAAGGGTAGGCTTATGTTAGGTCCCGTTTGTTTATAACAAACTTCCTTCAATCATCACAATCGACTTGATAATGGTCCAGATTCACGAAAGCACTTACGCAGGCACTTACGAACCTGTCCATCTTTTCTTAATCTTTGGCGGCTTTGTTTCCAATTATTAAACAGTTAATGAGCTCCGAAACACCAGGAGGCTGTTTATAACAATAACAACAGTTGATTAGCAAGTTTTCATGCTTGTAAACTGTTTAATAAATGTAACCAAAGCCGTCAAAGATTGAGGAAAGATGTACACGTTCGTAAGTACTCGCGCAAGTGCTTTCGTGAATCTGGCCCCAGGACGGACCGAAACGTCGTCGTCTCCTCATTTTAAGAACATAAGAACATAAGAACAAGGTAACTGCAGAAGGCCTATTGGCCCATACGAGGCAGCTCATATCTATAACCACCCAATCCCACTCATATACATGTCCAACCCACGCTTGAAACAATCGACGGACCCCACCTTCACAATGTTACGCGGCAATTGGTTCCACAAATCAACAACCCTGTTACTGAACCAGTATTTACCCAAGTCTTTCCTAAATTTTCTAGTGTGTGGTTTAGCCAACATTTTTCAGCCACGTTATTGTGACTTTTCATCTGCACAACATATAACCGTTACACTACTGGGGCAAAATGCTTGTAGCTCCTAAGTATACTGTCTATCATACCATTATCACACATCATACCAAATTGATATGGCACACTACTTATTTCCTTATTTCTATAGTTATCAATAAGTTGACACAATAATACATAATGTTCTAAGGTGTGG